CGCCACTGCTTAAAAAATTCAAACCGCGCGGGGGCAGGATTTTTTCAAGGTAGTTACTTGCATGACAGCAGGATAACAAGGCACTGTTTTCCATTTTCGCAATGTGTTCCAAGTGTCTCCAAAGTACTGACGGAAAGTTGTTGTGAGAACTGTTCATTCTTAAAAAACCAGATACATAAAACCGACAACTTGGTCAGTAATCCACACTTTCATACATGTTGACTATGTTTCTAAATCGGTCGCATTGGTATGCCCAACATAATACCTACGTTTCGATAAAACGCATTCTTTTCTCCTCGTCAGGGGTGGTAGGTTTCAGAACCTCTAAAATATCATAAGATAAGACCACTTCAAATGTACTGTCCTTTATTCATTGTCCCTCCAAACGACCTCCTGCTGTACGCAGACATTACTACCTAACAAGCGGCTCACACGTATACGAAGTGTTTCAAGTACCAATATTTGCATCAGTAAGAATATGAGCATTATTTGACGTTAATTTTTGTTTTACATTTTGTTCTGTGAAACAGAATTGTCAGACGGGCCTGTCGGAGGGAAAGCGGAAGCACCAAAGGACATTCTGGTGGCCATTGCTGAGCTGCAGAACCTGAATGGATTTTGGAAACTTGAGGCAGACTTGGCTGACCTCCTTGACTGTCCACTGGACAAATTGATGTCCACAAAGCCAAAGAATTGTGAGTTTACGAACTTAATGTTGTCATGGCAGGCTTTATTGAACTGTCATGCTTGCATCGGCAATTAGTTGCACTTGAGTTTTTTTTAATGGTGGTTACTGTAGTATTATTCAGACCTACCAACGTAAGAGTTTGGATAGTCATAAGTTATGGGGAATACCAAGTTGACCCGTCTAGTTGGGGTAATTTATAACTGTATAAACTGAACGTTCTAGTGATACTGCACTTAGGAAAAAATAGGTGTTAATAATTTGCTCGTGGCCACAGGGCGTTCCAAACTTACCTCTGACACTTGTGCTCTTTTGGTTTAATGCAATTATAGTCATCCAGTGGCCTAGAGTCAAACGCCCTAAGTGCTGGACTTCAAGGTCAAGGGCATATTGAAGGTCGACTATGAATGGCAGTAGATCAATATTTGTTTCGTCCATCATACACCATTGGTCGGTACACGCCGCCGAGCACAAGTGCCCTTACTAAAATGCCGAACGTCACTGGTCAAAAACAGAGATTTTATCCGCAGAAACACATGATGCGTGAAACGTTCATAGCGCAACAATCAACGGGTGTTCGTATGTTGCCCTGAAATGCGCTGCGGTATTTGCTGATCGGGAACTCTACACATCAATACATCCTAGTAAATTTTGCTTCACCTATGCTAATTCGTCTAGTCTACTGGACATGAAAACTGAGTTAATAAAATGCAGACTTGTTGTTGATTTCTGGGAAATAATAATGCCATTATCTGCATCCAAAGTCCACCGTAGTTGGCCATTCTTTTCCATGCCTTTACGTTTTCTCGATCTTACCTACTTGGTCTTTAGACGGTGTCCGTGACTAATTGACCCAACGGCTACAAGTCTGGTGCAAAATAATTTTAAGTGAGACAGTTTTTACTATGCCCCAGGAAGCTGGTATATGCGTATACCTATGCATAGTTAAGTAATCACGTCGATAGCGAACGCACGGTTTAACGCTGGTCATCAGTTTGCGTTTTCGCCTATGCGATCTACCCGGTAGCCGGCGGCCACCTTCTTACACACAGGACAGAAGCGACCATAAGGTATCGACCAATAAATACGAAGGAACCACTGCAACGACAGAAAAATGTTAAAGTCGTTTACCGGCTCTGCTACAGTTGTGGGAAAAGCAACTGAGTCGGGGAACCCGGCAGATAACATAGAAAGCCGGGCACATAGCATCGATGCAGGGAAAGACGATGGCTCCAAGGTTCTGACTTACCCCACAGGACTCGGTAATATTTACAAGTTTCTCAAGGCCGAAACCCTCTGAAGAACTGCCAGCTGCTCGATTCATGGTAATCAGGTCCACAGTTAATTTACAAGCACAAAATCATCGGTTTTTATTATACCTTACTGAGACTTTGTCTGCACAGTTATCAGTCACGTGGGAAGGGTGCGGACGACCAGGAATTTGAGGGACAGAGAGCCAAATGGCCGCGAAATTATTCGGCCAGAGTCAAACACGGGTGACTAAATCGTGTCAAGTTACGACTAGGACACGGATTGCCAAGCTATCATACGATCAATTACGAACCCTAGCGGTGAGCATGAGATGCGCTACTTATAGTAATCTTGCAGTCACGTGACCATTGCGTTCTATAAAATCTGCATGCCTTGTGTTTCTACTACCCTTACCTACGACTGTCTCTGGTGATGAGTCCCAGTATTAATCAAAGACTACAGTCCGCTAGAATTACTTATTCCAGTAATCGCATTTGCTGCTTCTGAATGCTATATTCTATTGTACATGGGGCGCAGCTATTGTAGATTAAACCTTAAACTTAATTTTTCCTCTACTAGATCGGCGAAACACATACATATATAAATATGTATGTCACTTACCTTTAAGTATTGTGAGGTGCGGTGCGACAATTACCTCCGATAACGGAAATTTGTCTGTTTTTGAAACCTCAGGAAATTATAATTCTGGTTCCCCAGATCGCTCTTTCTTCTAATAGTGATGCGGAAGGTTATGCGAAAAATATTCTTTTAGGTACCTTTCCAGCCAAGCTAATCTAATGACTTAATATTTTAACATATAACTCAAAATAGCAGCTTTTAGCAATAATCTTGTGCTGCCCACATCATGTTTAGTGACTTGAACCCCATGGGCTAAACGCTTCATTGCAAGCACGCTTTTCCTCGTCAGATCCTTAGACTGCTGCTAAATGCCTCCGGTTATCGCTAATATTCCTTCAGCCCACTCTTAAATTCTATTATTCCTCCCAGAGGTAAATTTGCCCCCCCCTCTTACAATGTATGTATAAGACACATGGCAATTTTTTTTAGGTAGGAGTCCACTCGTCAGATCGTTATCGAGTTTTGGATAAACCGAATGAATTTTTTTAAACTTCAGTGGCTGAACTAGAAGACACGGTCTGGGCGACGGCGCTAGTGATCGCTTTCTTCAAAACAAAGGTCGCTGATCGTCGGCTGGAATGGCAACTTATGTCAACCAAGGCACAAAATTGGCTCGCTACAAGGCTGAAATCGGATATGTCAGTGGATGAGCTAATCAAAAAGGCCACCTCTGTGCTTGATCCCACCTCTGTGGATGAGGCTACAACCATCAAACCAAAACTAGAATGGGTAGTTAGCACTGGGAGTAGCAGCTCTGAAACGCAGAATCGGCGTAAGGGCCCCTGCCGGCTATTCTAATTTTGGCAAACAAATGTTTTTAATTTCTGAAAGTGAGATTTAGGTGACATCTATATGATTTCTCACACTCTGTTCTTTTTTCGTGTCCTCAAGCCCATTTTATTCCTGCTTTTTTCTGCCTCAAAATGACGTCTTCCTTGCCTGTGTCACTATCTCTTGCATTGACATTTTGCACTTTTTTATATGCCAAGGTAAATCTAAACAAATATAGAGTTCATTTGTACACATCTACTTTTCCATCAAATAAAATGCACTTAACAGAGTTCTTATCAGATGTCCTACCATCAGGTTTATAACCTGCATGCTGTCAAATTTCAAGTCCACTGAGACTTGTATGTGGTCTCCAACGACTATCTAGCTTGAAGCGCAAATTAGGGCATGGGTAACAAAACCGCAGGCAAGCCTATGGAGTAATCTGAATAATTGTGTCTACTCTCTCACAGGAGAGCCTAGAGCTGCCACCGGGGCCTTAAGAGGTCGGTGAGTCTGAGGTTAAACTGTAGTTATTTCACGCACACCTAACAGTATGTCTTGATAGTAAGTGTGGCGCTTTTGCTTAAATGAATAACTAATTCTGCACATATTTCCATGCTTGATTTGAGAAGTCAAGTTGGCAAACACAGTGTTTTCAG